ATATATATATATATATATTAAGGCATTTGAAACCCTTCATACTCTCTTGAAATATTCTAAACAATGTTTCTAAACTTGATTTTATCTGTTTAACTTTCAACCTTTATTTATACAGGTTAATCCCGTATAAACTTGTTGTTTTATTGTGTTTTAAATTGAGTTTTTCATTCATTGCATGCTTAGCTAGTAACTTTATTTTTATGCTTTCTTTTATCTTATTTATTGCTGACGTTCAGAACTTTGTTTCAGCTGTGGCTGGTGTTAAAGCGCTTTATAAATAAAGTTGACGATGATGATGATAAATTCTAAACGCTCTTAAAGAGCACATCATGTCATGATCTTCGCTCTCTGCCACCTGCTGCTCTTGGCCACGCCCACTTCTCCTCTGCAGTCTTTGGCAGAGGGCAGAAATCATGACATGCTGCAGGAGGGAGGTTCTCCCTGCACTTGTGGGCTGCACACAAGTGCAGCAGGTGCTAATTCATTTGACAATTTATTTTAAATAAACAATCCATGCAGCTCATGTGGCTCATCCATCAATCAGCCAGTTGTGTGTCATGTCCAATCTTATTTTGAGAAACTGCGAAAGAGCGAGTCAGTAAAAGTCAAACCGAAAGTAACGAGGGACTACTGTATAGTGAAAGTATCCTAAAATATTGCACTTAACACTGATCTATTGAAGACACACTGAGAAAGATTTCTTATTTACATAAATATTGGGCGATTTCAAGAGATTTTATGTCAGTTTGTTTTGTCAGAAGACTTTGTCTGCATTACAAGTTGTATCTCATCTCTCCCTCATAACCTGCAGTAAGTGCTGCTCCCGGCAGTTTACAGGTGCTTCACACAAGGTGCTAGACTCCAGGTATTATTATAAGATTCCTCTGCGCCATTTTCAAACTCATACTTTATTTTTTTTTTTACAGAAAATGTGTTCCCACGGAGAGCAACAGATGGATAATGCTGCAGACAGGCTGCAAAGCCTTTTACACACTGTATCACATCACAAGTCAGGAGGGATTGTCACGTGTTAACCACTGACATCGCATGTGCAGTTTGTACTCCTGGCAAACAAAACTGGTTAATTACAAGTCACATACACTCCACACACTGATCACAAGCGTCAATAGATGACATCCATAAGCTAATGACCGAATATGTCCCATGCCTTGAGCAAGTCAGGCATGCAACAAGTGCTTTGTCTGTTCTAAACCAAAAAAAGTCCATGCTCAATAATCCAGGTATACAATCCAACAATTTTCAGTCAGGTCATCTGGATAGTTTCTTTTTTTTTTTTTTTTCTGAAACGTTTCACCTTCAATCCGGAAGGCTTCATCAGTCAAGGAAACACACAACACAAAACTGATACTGGTACAACTGATACAAAACTCAGTTTTGTGTTGTGTGTTTCCTTGACTGATGAAGCCTTCTGGATAGAAGGTGAAACGTTTAAAAAAAAAGAAACTGTCCAGATGACCTGACTAAAAATTGTTGCTTTGTCTGTTCTGTTTCTGAAACTTTCTATTAAGTGATCACCAGGACCCCGTGATGCGGCTGCGTGCACATGGAGTGGCCCATGCATGTCAAAAACACTTCTACTGGGTTATGAGTGATTAGGTTTTACAGTCAAACTTTACTAAAATATGGGCAATGAAGTCATAGAGGCCACATTGATAGCTAAGAAAGCTTGTGGGTTCCAACAAATCTTTTTTATTTTAATTTTCCATCCTAAACATGCACTGCAGTGAAATGAGTAAAATGCAAAAGCAAATCTTCCTGCAGTCAAACCAGATTTATGGTAAACTTATTGTCTTATTGACCCTCTTGACTGCACAGTTCTGGTTGCTAGGAGGTCCCAATCACAAACCAGCACGGATACAATTAAGCCCCCACACACACACACACACACGACCTCTCAAACACAGAGTGCACCAGGCTCAGCTTCCATGTGTGTGTTTACCTGCAGCGGGACATTCCAGGCCATGTAGACATGGTTCTTGTAGTTGTCCATCCACACCTCAGCCACCCTCAGGGCGTTTCGACGCACGCAGGCTGTCAAGTTCTCCGTGTACGGTTTGTGGGCACGCTCGATGTGGGCGATCCTGGAGCAGGGCAGAACCTCCACGCTGCCGCCACATTGCCACACCTGTTGGGATAGTTAGTGATTATACTTCACAGTAAAAGGTATGGATACTTCCTGTTTGCTTGCCAGGTTTTTGTCAGTTCAACCCCCATAAACAGATTAACTCCTCGCTGTGACAGAGCCTGCAGGATGGTATTAGTCAAATAAAAGTATGAGAAGAACCTGCAGAGAAGGCCCATCCAGGTGCTTCTATTTTTACCGTTATACACTTTGTTGAAGGTGGAATCTGTCATATATGTCTGCGCGGGTCCAACGAACGCTATGACAGCCCCACACAACGCTCACTATGAAATAAGTAGACGTGTATAGCCCTCTGAAAGTAAATCCTGTGTGAGACTAAGGTTTATTTAAGCTGATTGATGTTACAAGAAGCAAAAAATACACAAAAAAATTCTGGTTTTACAAGATTAACATGATCCTGTTTGATCAGACCTGGGTGAAACTTTTGCTCTATAATTGTTTCTAATGATCCCCTGCTTTGATCCAGGTTTTACTCAAAGACGAAACTTTTTACTGAACGAGAAGCTTTCATATAAAGTATGAGCAGCACAATGTACAGTATATTTCTACAAGTGTATTGAAAGAAATAGGCATACTAACAAATTAACAGGCCTAATATTCCTTGAAGGAATACAGATTGCATGTCCACCTTCATGCCACAGGTTTGGACTAAAATCATCTTGTGTTGAGAAAAGGGAGTTGTAGCCCTTTCGGACAAACTTTATTGGGCTGGCTCCAAAAGGAACCCACTGTTGAGCTACATCTAGTAAAAAAGTTATTGAAGGTTTCAGTCAAATCTGTCCAGAGGTTCATGAGATATTTGGTAACAGGCAGTTGGCTTCAATAGTTAACGGTAAAATAATAATAAAAAGTAAAAAAACAAAACAGATGTGTAATCAGTAAATGTTTGGGAATGAATCTCAGCTACCACCACCAAATTTTATCTCATTATCTATACATTGGTTGAGTTACAACCATTTTAACGTTTCTATAGATCACTTAACTGTGGGAGCCATCTTAAATTAAATTGTCTCTCAGTTAATCAGTTGTAGATACACATCTCATGATACTTCTTGAGAACTTCTCGAGAGTTTCCAACAATGTTCAGTCAGGTCATCTGGATGGTTTCTTTTTTTCCCCACTTTGGAGTAGGCTGTTGGTATAGTATCAGTTTTGTTTGTTGTTTCCTCAGACTGAAGAAGCCCTTCGGATGGAGGGCGAAATGTCTCGGCACAAAAAATCAAAACCTTCCAGATGAACCGAACTGTTGGATTTATACCTGGATTATTGAGCATGAACTTTGATGTTCTTCAGAGTTTTGTTAAGATGTGTCCACTGGTTCACAAGATATTTTGTTAACTTTACAGTGAAATGAACACACAAGACGACAACAATACAGTAGTCCCTGGTTTATCGCGAGGATCCGTACCATGAAGTCCTGCAAGAAGTGAAAAACCGCAAAGTAGGAAAAGTAGTACAAGTAGAAGTTGTTTATTTTAATATTTAAATACGTATATATATATATATATA